CGGGGGGGAAGAGACATATGAGCATTAACTGCATGTACTTAGATGAAGTGATTTATCTACTGAAACTTTTTCACTTGGTGGCTTTTCACAGGGTGATTTTAAGGGGTTTGCAGACTTGAGAAGGCTGCAGCCTGGGACCCTGCAGAAAGATTCCTGGGTAGCCAAAAGTGCAGCTTTTTCTGCAAGTCAATCTTAGCCCTCAGCCTTTGGCTGCAACCAGTAAAGTTGCTGCAGGTTATCCAGCCCTGCCGAGAGGTGGGGGACTGGGAAAGTGGCTTCATACACTGCTGTTTCCTCCCCGGTTGCTGCCTGTGCTAGGGGAAGCTCCATTCCCTTCCATGCTCTGCCCTGCCCTCACCTACAGGCTCCACTCCCACAGCTCCGGTTGGCTGGGAATCCCAGCCAATGGGAGATGAAGGGGCAGGGTATCTGCCAGTGAGGCCAAGGCACTGTGGCTCATGCTAAGTCACCTGCTTCCCCACCCAAGATGTTACCCCGCACTCTGAGCCCACTTACATAGCTCATGCCCCTGCCCCAAATCCCTTCCCACATTAACTCCATCTGAGTCCCAGCCTTGAGCTTTCTCCAGCACCCGAACGCCCACCCAGACTCCACCCCTCCACCCCAGCCTCCTATTCTGAGCCTCTCCCACACTCAAAACCCCTTGGCTGCAGCCTGGAGCCCCCTCCGACACCCTAAATGCCTCATCCCCAGCCATCCACCCTTCTGCCTGAACCTGCAGCTCCCTCCTGCACATGGAACCCTTCATTTTGGCCCTACCCCAGAACCTGGAGTGGGGGGGGGGACCACAATTTAATAGCTCCAGGACCCCAGAAGAGTGAGTTTGGCCCTGGCTGTCTTATGCAGGAGATTGCAGACCTGAATCTACAAGATGCTCCGTGTTCTCATCTCAGGGCTTGTCCGCAGGCTTAGTTTTTCTTTGACTAATGGTCCTGATTGTGTTCCACAGTGGGCTACGAGCCTGGGGCCAGAGAATTTGGAAGTAGTGTCTGTTGGCTCACCTCATGCCTCCATTCAAGAGCATAAAAGATGGGGCAGACTCTTTGGGTCCTTCTTACAGCTGCATTGTCTGTAGCTCTATTGTCCACTGCTTCAGATTTGGCCTACAGAATAACAACATGATTTAGTTCCATAACTAAACAGTTACATAACAGGTTTTGTTAGTCTACAATTTAAGGTTTCCTAGATTGAGTCTCTTGGGAGAATATTCCTGCTTCCTGTCTGTAACCCTTCTCAGCAGTGCTTCAAGTGCAAACCAAAAAAAACCCAAACCAACAAACCACAGCCCCTCCCCCCCCTTTACTGACATGGCCCCTGCCTGAGAGGAGAGAGACACTCCCCATGTTCCTCTTGCACTGCAGAGCTGGAGGGTGGGGAAGCTAGTAGATTTGTATGCTCCAGCCCCGCAATGGGAGCCCTGACTCTTGGGGGCTGGCTCCTGGCAAGCCGGGGGCCACATAGGCTTTAGGTTCCCCATCCCTGGGTTGCCAGGATTGCATCAGGGAAGCGCACACCATGGGGAGGTGCGATATCTGCTAACTGCACTCCAGCTCAGGGCTGGCCCGAGCCATTTAGGCACCCCAGGCATGTGGCAC